CCTCAAATCTAAAACCCAGCCTTTTCAAGTTACAAGTTGACATACAAGTTAACATATGATTAAACAGTCAAGAGCAATTAATTTCGTTCCTATATACAGTTACCAGAGCATAGCTGACGTTAGAAGGGACTGCTGGAGGCCACCTGGTTGCCCAGCACTGTGCCCAGGTGGCAAACTATAGACTCTCCCCATAATCCATGGAAATTATACTCACGTAGATCTCAGGATTTTTACTGAAAGTCAAAGATTATTTGAAGTCATTAGGAGTCACTGAAAGGCCCTATACATGTGATGAATTGGAAGGCTGCTGTTAAACACCCTAGAAGGTGCACATCAGCTCACATCTCCATCACAAATTAAGTTTAGCCTTCTGTCACTCAGCAGTAAAAAATAAGTTGAATTAAAGATGCACAAAAAAGGACAACTCACTATGGCACCATCATTCTCCATGTTATCTACCTCTTTTCCTCTTACTCCCATCCCACTAGCTTATACTTTAAGACTGTATCTTCCCAGCAATCTATTGAACTTTCCAAATATTTGAGTTCACGTTCATTTGTATCTTGTCCCTTATCAGCACTGTTCCCACCATCACAAGTACAATCAGTTTATTTCACAACAGACTGAGTTTTAACAGATGATGTTAGAAACCTTGGAATTAAATTCAACACTGGGAGGACACAAACCACATTACAGAAATCAACATTCTTTTTAAAGAAATAAGACATCAAAACCACATGAAATATTACATAAGCAACAGTCAAAAAAAGTCTTTCCTGCACTTTTTCCATCATTTGCCCCAATATCAAAACAGACTAATATAAAGCTGAAGGAGTTCAAGCAATTCATGGCAACTTTTTTAGCTTATAAAATTGAAGGACAGAAATTTTAAACCTAAGTCAGACACATCAAAAAAGTCTGGTAATCACAATTCAACAATCTAAAAATGCCAGTGAAAACAGATGTCTGAACTCTCACTGGCAGGTGCATACTCATTAATCTCTCTACGGAAAAGGAGACTGAATCTTATTATACCTAATTCACTTTTTTTTTTTCTGAGAAGATAAGCTGCCAGTTGCCATAGATACCTCTATATAAAAAACAGGAGATAAGAACACTATATAAAAAAAAAGTGATTCTGGATTGTACGATTGCTAGATTCCCAAGCACTGTAATAACATAGCTTAAAACTTGTATTAAAGATGAAGTTCATTTCAGAGACTATTACTATATACTTAGCAATGGCAAACATTTAAAAAAATATTAAGTACAAGAAATCATAGCCATTCTATACTTCTCTTTTGTCAACTACAGATTCAAGGAGTGTTTGAAAGATGACATTCACTGTATCAATGCACAATATATCGAGTATAGGTAGATATTTCTGTATATGAAATCCTCCCAAAAGGTTGCCTTTGTAGGTCTGTGTGCAAACCCTGGCCTATAAACTCTTCAATGACTTCCCATCCATCTACTGCAATGTGAAGCTCCATGCATTCTTTCTGCCCTCTCACAGAAACAGTCACATTGACCATCCAGCCTGTCCTTCCCATGGTGCTGGCCGTGCATATCTGCAAGCTCTCCAGCTATGAGCTGTCCCACTGTGTCTCTGTGATCCCACTGCAACTGCATGCAGGGTTTCAATTCCTCCTCACATGTATTAGTGCACAGGCACTGCAAGGAGCCATTCAGAAAAGTTACAAGAGCTCTCTCCACCTGAAGGCATTTCCTTATTTATGTGCATAAACTTAGTGGTCCCCTTCTCTCCTGACTGTTGGCCATGAGGTCACTCCTGTCCACACTGCCCTGATCCCTTTGCTTGCCAACTCAGCCCCCAGCTTCCTCAATCTTCTGCTTTCCAAGTCTTTCCTTTTTTAGAGCTCTTCTGGATAAATTTTCCTCTAACTGCTTTGAAATCTTACTGCATACTAAAAACAAGATTAAGCCAGTGGCAAGATCTGAATATATGCTGAAAAAAGCTGCATGGAAATTCTATACCAGAACATAAAATCATATGAAAATATTCCATTCACTGATACATCAAAGCTGGTATGTGCTTTTATTTTTGCCCTCTAACTTAATTAGGTATTCAGCATATTAAATATAAATTTACTGCTTTCAGTTGAAGATAATAGGAAAGCGTTTCTCTACATTCACCTACCCACGTCTGTAAATGCTGAGAGCTGACAAGAAAACCTCAACTTCTAAAGGTAAGTTTAAATCTGTGAAAAGGCTATAAAGCAGACAGCAGAAATCTTAACTGAACTGAATTGATAGCAGAAAGCTGGCAATTTTGCACTGGCACACATCGCTTCACAAAAATGAGCAGCTCAGATGCCCACAGCTTCACATTCAACAGAGGAGAGAAGAAAGCTCAAGTGAATCAGCGCCTACAGACTTCAAAATAAAAATCTTTGTGATATTTTCACCGTTAATTAAGTCACAGGTACACAGAGGCATGTTTTCTAACCGAGCTCGAAGGAAAACGCATGAAATTCGCCACTAGATGGCTCCTCCGCCCGCCCAGCAGGCAGCAGGCCCGCCCAGCAGCACGGCCGGCCTCCAGCGCTGTGCAGCCAGCACGCACCTTGCGACCCCAGAGCGGCTCCGCTTCCCTCCCATTCTACATCGCTGTAAGCAGCCTTGGGATAATCCTTCAGCGAATTTCTCGCGTATCTGCTTTTGCTAAATTAACATGACTTTGTGAATACGGGAAATGAGACATACTTTTTCTTGGTTTTCGCCTCGCCAAGCGAACTGCTCTCCTTTGAGGAAAGGAACAACTTGAAGCAATGTAAATAGGAACAGCTTAACAACCCCAACCCTCTTTGAGGTCACACTGAAGTTTGGGAAAAAAAAGTTTAATCTTTTTGTCCTGTTTCGTTATATTTTAAGGTATACCACACGACAGTTGCAGGTTAAATTCCAGGGACACCTATACCTGCTGCTCTGCCATTTCTTCTCACTCTGTACAGAGCGCAAGCTCAACTTTTTCTTCCTGTTAACGTGAATATACTTATCTTCCCCAAGTATGTTTTGTGCCCTCTGATCTGTATTTCAAGGCGTACAGTGAACTAAGTAGCTATAAATAAGCAATAGCTGAGCTATGATTCATAGCTTAAGTAGCTACACAAAAATTTCCAGAAAGCCATCTTGCTCCACCTGCCCAGGTCTCGTAACAAACCACACAAATGCCTGTTCACTGCCGATCCTCTGCTGAAAAACATCTCAGATGAATAAAAACAGCAGACACACAGCTGCATCTTTAGCCGATCCATCTCTTCTCTCTCTCACAAGAACTACCAATTATGAACATGAACTGCAGAACTTCCTCCTCTACAACACAACTGACATTTCCATGCTCTTCTGACAGACGACTGACTGCATTCTCTTCCTGAAGGGATCTATCCATTTTAACAAATGAGAAGTAAAAATAGCGGCAAATTTGGGGACAGAAGTTGAGTGATGAGGAATTCAAAGAGACTGACTTTTCACTAGTTAACATGCTGGTAAATGCAAATGAGTAAGACCAGAAGGATGACATGCATGAACATATCTCTTTTTTCCCAAGAATAAAATTCAGTTAAACGATTTGCCAGAATGCTTTCAATATATCACAGTTAGACAAAAAGCCTGAAACAGAATTGCAAAATGTCTACTTTTGAACTGAATGAGCTATTTTTTAAGAATAAGTTGAAACCAGGTACTGTTCTCCAGTACAACATAAAGAGGATTGCAACCCACTAGTAAAATCAGCATTCACTGTGCAGTTTATGAACAAAGGTATCCAGGTTTAAACAAGCCTATCTTCAAAGAACTGCACTGGAATGCCACATTAAGGACAAACTGAAGCACTGCACATTACACATGCACTGCACCTAATTCTACATCCTTTTCATACCTGATAATTTTGACAGAATACCAAGAACAGGAAGCAGGACTCGGGTCCCCACCTGAAAACCTGATTTTCTAACTCAAATCATAACATTTATTATCCCTGTAATGAAACAAAAATATGCCAGCAAAAGAAAAAAAAAAAAAGTATAAGAAGAGAAGAGGCATGAACATGGAAACAACTAAATGCTAAAGAGAAATTTTAATAAGGTGAGACTGAGACATAGTTCTGCTTAGTGAAAAGAAGCTGATTAGTGTATTTTTACAAAGAGAGCAGACAAATGCAATGTAACATGGAGAAAGCTATGAAAACAAAGTGGAACTGACACACATAACCTAGAAGTAAGTTTTTTTCCGTTCCTCCTAATAAAGCACAAGATTTTTATTCACAAATTTTATCTGACATCACAGAAAAATATTCAATGGATTTCAAAATGTACACAAAAATGACAAATCACTGAAAATGACCAAATAAATTAAATACTAAATAAACTAAATACTGAAGATAGCATTACTAGGCAGGCAAGAAGACTTATATTATTTCTTCAACAGTTGTATACCATACATGGATGTTTGTTTGGTTTTTTATCACCAGTATTAACACTAAGCTCATATACTTCTGTGCTGATTCTATCAGAGTCTATCTCAATGGGAATCATACCAGCTACACTCTGATGCATTAAAAAAAAAAAGTGCTCTACAGTGTACCTATATAAATACAGATAGTGAGTACAATCTCTTCATAGTACTTTGCACAGAAGAACAGTAAGGCCTAAATGCAGAAGACTGTAAAAACTCTGTCACTAAAAAGGCAAGAAATGTGTTTTTGCCTTTTTATCAAACATATGACAAAACAGTATGAGCAGCACAAGTGACACAGTGTGTATGGCAGTACACTGTAAACAGTAGTGAAGTATAGCAAATGCATAAGCTAAACAGGTGCAGCTAAAATACATTTTCTTCCCTTTGTTCTGATGCCATGAAATTCACTAAGGATGGTACTTACTAATTTTACATTTTAAATTCTTAGTTATTCAAGTGTGTTACATAGCTGGAGATAAACGTTTAACATATTGAATCCGTGAAAGAATGAAAATAAAACATACCTTGTCTATTTCCATTCTCTTCATCCTATGGAAAAAGAAAGAGTGCACATTAAAAACTCATTAAATGGAGAAAATACGTAGGCATCTATAAGCTAGGAGGATTTAAGGAGTACTTGTAACCTCAACTGTGAATTTCAATATTTCATCCTTTTTCACAAATATTCCAACATTGAAGTATTAAGGCTTTAATTCTGAAATTGCTGCATAATTCCTGTTTGCATAGAAAAACTAAATGGTTGCATGAAACATCCTCAAAGAAACAACTTGAAAGGCATTATCTGAAAACAAGTGTAGAAAAATATCCAAAATACTGCCATGAAGCCTAACACTGCTCTGGAGCTGTTGCAAGTATGTTTCCACCCAGAAGTCAAGCATATGCTGCTATCATCCACAATGTTAAATAGAATGAAAGACATCTTTCTAACACGTTTTTTTATAAGCAAGCTCTGAATATTCTTAGTGAAATTTGAAACGTGAAATTTGTTTTGCCATCAGTGCTTCTGCTAGAGGACAAATACATACTCCAAATGCAATTTAGGAAAAACTTTGAAGACTTTCCTTCTGGTCATCTCACTATATTTTACAATTCTAAACACCATCTATCACCCACAGTCCTTTAAAAAAAGCCTGCAACTGGAATGTACTGATGGGGAAGGACATGCTTAAAATAGCATATAATTACTTCAGTTTCTCGTTAGTATTTCAATATGAATGAGACTTTTGATAGAGCTTGGATAATTTCCTGTTCAGCAAAATTCTACTGAAATTTCCTAAATGAGATGGTCAAAATATGAAAATGTGTTTTCTTTCTGAACTGTGACTTCATGGATGTAATACATTTTTCTACTAAATATTTTCTAAGTAGTATGTGTTAGTCTAAGGACCTGTATTTCTAACAATTTACTTCAGCTCTGCCTAAAATCAGCCTCATCCTGAAGGCAACAAAGAGCAATATGATGACCACAGAAATAATCTTCATCTATATATTCTTTCCTACTTTTAAATGTATCGATTTCAAATTTCTAGGCTTTCTGTATTGAAAACAGATCACCACCTTTTTCATATTAAATACTCTCAAAGCAATTGAACATTAATCTCAGTATACTCTTCAAGAGAGGAAGACTTGATGAAAGAGAGAGAGATCTACACATGCATACAGTGCTGCAGAGTGAGACAGCTGTCCTTTCTAGGTGCATTTCTTCCTAGGATATTTCTTTCTTGACACACAGAAGTTAAGTACAATCTGCATCTCAACACACTGCAACAGAAGTTACCACAGTATGTGCTGGAGCCTTAAAAGAAACCACATATAGATAACTATAAAATAAATACATAAATAAAATAAATTTTAAAAAGAAAGGAGTAAACAGAGTTCTGGTACTGCTCTGACTTTTTAGAAGCCACGATTATCACTAAATCCTTAAGTTGAACAGTCTTGTCTAATAATATATTTAATATATAATTTATATACATATATATGTATATACGTGTTTTATATATGTATGTATGTATGTATGTATGTATGTATAAAGCAAGGCTTACTCTTCTCCACTCAGTACAGCCTTTGAGGAGAGTTCTTTGCTCCCAAGAAAATTCACTCCAGTGGCTTTCCAAGTTGCAGCCCCCTCTGACCTGAAGCAAGCTTTCCATTCCCATTCTTAGCACATCCAGCAGTCTCAAAGCCTCATGCTCTGTCCCAGATGTGCTCAGTGTTTCCCCCATGTGACAAGCCTTGTCTTCTCTCCAAAAGGACTAAACATGACCACATCAACAGTTTCTTTTAGGTAACTTTTCGGTTCTATTTACTGCCTCTACCAGTTTATGCTGACTTGCAATAAGGTTAGAAGGTACTAGAACAACACTGTCTTGAAATAAATCTAAGCTACAACACAAAGCCATCCCTGAAGTAAACAAAGACATCTGCACTGATCTGGAAGAAAAGTGACAGCATCAAGCTGACACTTCAACAACAAGGACTCTGACAATAAGAAACTTGTAGGGGATTGAGAAAAACCAGCTGTCCCATCAATGGCACCTTTAACTTCCAACTGTAACCAGTACCTTACATCACAGGTAGCTGCACCCATTCTCTGATGTGAAGAAGAGACAAGGTTATTACAAGATTTTAAGATGGCCAAAAAGCCTGATCATAGTTATCATTGTTATACTACCAAAAAAAGGAAAAAGCACCATCTTCCCTTCCCCCAAGACTATACACTTTTGATTACTGAAGAGAGAGGAATGATACTTAAGCTTAGAAATAATGACTGAAACTGTACTTAGCCACTAACCAACATGATCTTAAATCAAATAAGAATGGTACAAAATAAAATTTGTCTCATGCTAGAATCAAGCACAATAGGTGAATTTCATTCTTCACGTAACTTAAGTACCGACAGCTATAAAAGCCATCTTATGACGGCCCAGGAACAAAAACTTTGCTGATGTTACTTTTTTCTTCCATCTCATGAACATGAAGAAAAAAATATAATGGTTGAGGTTAACTTACAGAAGTGCTTACCAGAACTCTATCCAAATAAAACTTATCTTTATAGGGAATTGAACACCTACAACAATCTAACAATCTCATGATTTTTCTTTTCATAAACCAGACATAAAGAAGAATGAATTACTCAGATTCTGACATATCATAGAAGAAACAGAAGGGAAAAGGGTGCCAAGAGCTCTCTTGAAGTTCTAGCTCCTTCTTCTTCCTTCAAGACATGTCTTGAGATTTACAGGTATCAGTACAGTATGTGCTGTTTGGGTCTCTTTCAGGAGCTATCAAATGTGAATGAGAAGAACTCTGGACCCCCCCAACATCATCTGCCATTTCTTGTGTGCAACTCCTTCCGCATATGAAAATACTATTGTCTGTATGAAAAGATCTATGAGAAATTCAAGAGAAAACATATCCCATCACTTCGTGTTTAAGGAACTGAATCCTGCTTATGCTATTTATTTTCATCTATAATGTGAACGGGGTTTGTTCCATTGGTTGGTTTTCCCCAGGAAATGCTAACAAGTCCACATAACTTATTCAGCTCAGCTAAGACTTCCTCACTCCTCTTTCCCTTTCTCATATCGGACTTCAAACAGGGGTTGGTCTTGGCTGACTCTCTATAACCTCTGTTGAAGAACAGAATTTTTGTTATGACCTGATACAGGTAGCTATCTCAATAAACTTCAGTAACTCTGTATCAAGGATAAAAATTTCAAGCGCAAGTGCCTGCTGTAACTGAAGTTACTGGGTTAGTAATAACTGAAGTTATTATACTAATAATCCCCTGCAAACTTTTTTATTCAAAATAAATCTTACAGCCACTAAAGCAAAAAAGACATTAACTAAATTGTAGAGACACATATCAATCAGCTATGTAGGAAGAGTGTGAAGTTTCAATAACCACTCCTTCATCCTGGTATCAACCTATTCCTCTGCCTAGCTGCAAAAGTAAGAAGAAAACTAAGAGGTAGGGTATATCATTATTTTAAAGTAATTGATTGTGCAAGTTCTAATCAATGGTATTTGAACTCACTGGAAAAAAAAAAACCCTTCTCAATATTCAAATCTTTACCAGTATTAAATGGACTTCCCAGCACCAGGCACTAAAGCAATTTCCAAATGGTTCAGTCATGAAGGAGAATACATACCACTCTTCAATAAGGCAGACCAATTAGCTGCTTAACATTTTTAAATAAGCAAAACCTATAAAGTACTTTAACACTATTTCTATTAAGCCAGAACAACTTTCTTCAGCCTAGGCTGGGATTGATTTGTCTCTTGACTTAAGGAGAATTGCAAGATTCTTGTTCTTTTCAGTAGAAAGAACAAAACATGGGAAAAAAAGCGTCTAACATCCATTAATTTTACAATATTCAGAAATTTTTTCCAGGCCATTCTCTTAGGACCAAGGTGTAAAGAGATCTCAGTTCTGAAGAGGATGTTCAAGGGTGTTGCCCCACCCTTGAAGTATACACTAAAGAGTATGCAGATGAATTAGATTGGCTTTAAACTAAAAAACAAAAAAACAATAATAACAAAAAAGAACAAAATAAACTCACTTACTTTAAAAGAAAATTGAACTGCAGATTCTGGAGGGTAAACTATGAAGTGTCTTAAGGTGAAGCCAAAACCCTGAGATGTCCTCCTTAACACAACAGTTTTTGGACCAGGCCAAGAGAAAGCTTCTTCTTCCTCTGATGGTGATATAGCTTCACTTTGCTCTTTTCCATCTTTATTTTTTGATGCCTAAAATAAAAGAGACACAGATACTAGTTGTAAATCACAATTCAGTTGTATTTTAAAAGCATTACTGTGCACTTGAGAACGTAACTTCTCTTACATTCAAAATAACCAGATAATCACTGATATTGTTGTAAGAAATGTGAACTGCAGAACAGCATCCTTAGTGTTACAAATTTGGTAAGTGGTATGACCAGAGATAAGTTTCATATTAAGAAAGTCAATGTTCAACAATTACAGGTTGAACTGAACCTCAAGAACATGTACAGATTGCTTTTATTTGCTTTTTAGTTTACTTTGATATAAATATCCAGATCCTTTCTGTCTTTTAGGACTCCATTTCTGACCATACAAAGCTCACACACATACAAACTCCCTTTTTCTGACTTAAAACACAAGTATGGTTTTCTCAACTAGCATCTCCTCATGTACAACAACTGATACAAAAATAAAGTATAAAATTGATTAGGCTTCTTTAGCAAGACATCCTTCAATATTTTTACTCCATTTATTATTTTTTCCACCCTTACCTACATTCTCTGAACATTACAGTACACTAGCACTAGATACACAAGTAAGGAGGTCTAATTTCCTACTGTTGTTAGTACTACAATCCCACTTCTGCAGAACAAGACCATTTGTTTCTTTCTTTATGGGTAATTTTATGAATCTGTGACTCGTGAAATACAGGATTTTAAAAAATATTTGTGGCTTTACATGAAATTTTCCATTTTAATTTTCAAAGTGAGTGCCACATCAGTCATAACAATTCAAATAAGGCTGAAAACATACAAAGAAAGTATGCAAGAACCCTATGACCCTCCTCTAAATATCCTAGTTCAACGATGCGTGAAACAAATTTAGATACCAGAGCCTATAGCCTATTCAAAGGGTATTCAAACAGAAATAATAGTCTTCTTGTCCTTCTGCAGCACTGCTGCTGTGGCTCAGCAACCGCCTGATACGTGGCAGAATTTTCTGCTCGGATTTCTTCCTGGGCTGCTCCAAAATAATCCCTTTTAGCAGCCTCACAGCTGCTATGTGAAAATGTAGCACTTCTTGGTAAGGTGGGCCCAGCCAACTCCAATCAATATCTACAGAGAATACAAAGCATTTCAACTTCCACCACAGTGACAGCAATGTGTATTATGAGGAAGCTTTTGCAGCTGCTTGGTGAGATACTTAATTCTGGATTCTGTTATGTAAAACAAAGCATGTTTCTACACAGATGCTAAGGACACAACCCAGAAAACCTACATCTCATTAAGTGCCTCGAGGGCAGCTGCCTGTAAACCAGCCCTCTACCTCCACTGAGCCTATTCTTCAGAGAAGAAAAATACACAAATGACGGAACTGGAACTAGATACTGGACTTCTGCACAGAAGCAGCAAGCTGGCCCCATGGGACTCCGCTCCTCTGAACATCCCAGAAGAACCACTGGCAGGTTTTGGAAAAGAACAGTAAACATGAAGAGCTCAATTTCTGCTCAGTCTGTCCATGTCTATCACCTTCATCCATGTTTCAAAGTTGTAGTGCAAAACAAGACTGTGCAATTAGATGACTAATGAATGAGAAATTAGTGAGAACTGAACTGCCAAGATCGGCTTTAGTTTAAAGTTCAAGCAATGCAAAGATCAAGTTAAATGTGACACAATCCTCTAGCCTGACTATCAGGGTGGTGCTGAGGTGTTTCCCACCAATCTGTTCAGCCTTTGAACACGACAGTATTTTTTCATTTCTGCACAAGTGATGTACCTTCTCAGTTTTCCATTCCCATCACATGAGCAGAAAAAAGTGCCATTGAGAAAGATTGTTCTGATCCTATTAAAATGGCATAACAAGTAGTTCATAATAAAAAAGTATCACTGACCTCAGCAAGTTGACAGCAACTTCCTCCGCTAAGTGACAGGCTACAGTCACCTTGCTTTACTCCCTCCCCCTTAACAAAAGCCACCTTAATTAGCCTAAGGATAGTTTTAGTATGTATAACAACTGATCATTCAGACGCACAGTGAGCTGAGATCAAAATACAGCCAAACTTCCCGACATCTGAGGAGCAGGAGATGCAGTATTTGACTGAAACGGGAAAAGAAGATGTAATTTTGCTGTAACTTCATGTCAACTTTTACCACTTGTGACAGTTGCTGAACTAATAGCTATTTATGGATAACAGTGTTCCATAGGCAAATCATTATTTCCTCAAAGAGCATGCCAGAAGTTGAAGAGTTATCTTCATGCTGTCCTTGGACCCCTGCAAGGTCTGCCAGCAGCACAACAAAAAAGGCCAGTATTGATAATAAATGTGAGATGTGGTTGGTAATAGCAATTCTGAGCCCCTATACAAACAAAAAGCAATGTGAATTACAATGAAGAGAGTCAACATCTGTTGAGTGACCCTGTGAAGTGTCCAACCACAGCACACCCACCCGAAATATCTCTTGCCAGTGAAGGCTTTATAAAGGAACAAAAAAGTTTTCAAAAATACAAACAAAACAAGGATTCAAGACAGCAAGGAAGAAACAGATGATGTTTAGCATACGCAAGAATGTTATTGAAAACAGAGATCCTACATGGTCTTGTGATCCAAAAATGATAGCAATCCAGTTACAAGTATGTAATCATCTGATATCCTTACGGTGATTTGTGTTTAAGAGCAGAGTGACGCATTTCAAGAGAACAAAAAACGAATGCTTTATTTTCATGTCACACAAAATCTAACAAACTAGAGATTACTTTGCTGTATTCCTTACTGAAGGTCTGAATGTTTGAGTCAGAAAAAGACAGTCTCTATAAATTCAATGCTCAACACAAATGTCAGAACGCACACAACTGAGTTCAAGGACTGCAGAATCCCAGGCTACAAAAAATAATTCAAGCGTCATTTCCCTCAGGATTGCTTCATATGAGGTTTTTACACCAAGTATCTCAAAACATCATTTCCTGTTACACACAATTACAAGGACATACAGCAGATGCTTAAGTGCCCTGTAAAACACGTATTTGGCTTTGAATATTGTATTTAACCCTGGTTTTATGGGTAATAAAAGCATCCACGAAAAATCTGGTACTTTAATCACCAGGAGCTTATCAGTCTGTAGAACTACATAAGATCAGTAAATAGCACCGGTGTTTCTAAATAATACTATGTTCAAATAAAAAGTAATATCAAAATAATATTTTCACATTTTAGAAGCCAAAAAACAAAAAAAAAAGCAAACACACACCCAACCAGCATGGCTCCAAAGATCCTCTCGTTCTCCAGCTTCTGAACAATTACTGACAGACCTACATAAATAACATGCTACAAACAGTCCAGCAACAGTCAAAAGGGATTGCAGTTTAAAACATCAGTTGTTTTCTTGGCTGTCTAAACAGATAAACAGATATACTCTGAGTTCTGAATACTATCTTCATAGATGAATAATAGTGAACACAATACATAATTATATCTTGCACTACCAATACCTGAAGAAAATTTAAAAACTGTTTTAAAGTTGAGATTCTTTATCATCAACAGGCTCCTCTTGATGATGACCTCTAGCAGACCAACCACCAGATGTCTTTTATTGGCCTGGTCCCTAACTTTAATCCACAAGCTCTCAACATTGGTCATGGCTGCCTTTTAGAGGCAGTTAGGGGCAATTCTTCACAATCTATCCACTTCTTAACATAGAGGGCAACTTCCCCACCCCTCTTACCCTGCCTACCCTGTCTAAAATGCCTGTAGCCCTCAACCATTTGCTCTACACATCTGGTTTTAACATTTTTCTTTAATCAAACAGAACATTTCACAAATTATGTAAGTAACAACTTTATAGTATTGCCCAAACTATATTTTCTGGAGCCTAAATTTAACAAAGACCAACAAATAAACTAGACTGATTGGTGGGCTCACCCATCAGCAGCTCAATAAGCATAGTCTGTCTCCTGCTTCAGGATTCAGTATTATTCAACTTTCAGCTAGTCCACCAAGAAACATGCTATCTCAAACAGCAGTTTAGCTCAGTGCATATATGTTGAACAGAATAACTGGTTGATGTCACTTGATTTTCCTGATTTAACTGCCATCAAATGATGTTTTTAAAAACTAATGACATAAACCAGAACCAAAAAGGATCTTGCACATCATTATTAATCCCGCAATTAGCCTGAGACAGTAACAGGATATTCCAAATGCTATAATAAATGCTGGACTTGCTTCTAAACAGTGGCATTTCTTGTACCAGGTCATTTATTTTTCCTGTTTTTCTAACCAAGTAGCTATTACTTGGCCAACCGCTTTGATAAACATACAATTTCAAAGAAAATAAAGCTTTCCTATTTCTTTGTCACATAAAATGTAAGATTCTTTAAAAAGGTAACAAGGGAAAAAAAAAGGGTCATTTCTGGCTAAGACTACAGAACATAACAATGCCTATATGGGAAGAGGATCTTGTTATCCACATAATAATGGCAGGTCTTGCTGCAAGTCAGGTTTTTCTATAATAATCAGACTGTTCCACCAAGAGTTTTCAAATAAAATTAGAATAAACCACTGACCCTTTTAGTCTCAACCACACAGAGAACTTCAAATTGCTTTTCTAGAAGCTGACAAAAGTCAAAGAAATAATGAAGATATTCACCCAACCCCTCTCCGCACCCGCTCCCCTTCCCCCCCAAAAAAAATCTACTTTTCAGGAACATCTATGGGACCAAAAATGATGAATCACAGAACTTTATCTTGCTCAGTGGACAGCACGTCCCCTTAACCTTCTATCATCACCTTCTGTCACCTGGTCTCCCATACCCAAGTGACTTCAAACCAATCACTCAATCCAGTAGAGAACACATGGTTCCCTGGTAGTACAATATGATAGGAAACAAACATAACTCCCAAAATACATTGCCTCTGGATGCTCTTAAAACACGCAACACATGGTTGACACCTTATGCAAACCTATCCTCCAAATATCCAGGAAATAGTTTTGTCCTTGAAACAAATGCGTTCCATCACTTTCACCCCCAAC